AAGGCTGTGCAGGGCAGCCAAAAACAGATGAGCAAGGCCACGTACATCACCTCCATTTGGTTGTCGGTCTTCAGGTGAAAGGCCTTGACAAACTCATCAGGGCTGACATCTGGCAGCAGGCTGAAGACATCCTACAGCAGGTGGACGATCTGATGGTCTATGGGTAGCTTGCCTGTCACTACTTTTACCTGGTAGCTCCTGATATCCAGAAGCGTGGAGTTCAGTCCCTTCAAGCCATGCAGAGACTTGGTTTATAATCTGCTGGGAAAGAGTGCCCACGGTAGTGTCTTTGATGTCTCATAACAAGCGTTCGACTCTGACTTCCTCAGCTTCCTCTGCTCTGGTTTCACTGGTCACAAGCTCAAATGTTTTTATGGTTGTAGTTCTATCCACATGAACTTCTTCCACTGAAATATATGCTTCTGTTGGCAGGCTCAGGTCCTTGGGTTTCACATCAATAATGACCAAAACAAGAGTTAGGGCAGTATCATTTCATTACTTCACTGATGGCAATGGCATTCTTGTAAAGTTTATGGCCTGTGTGGTGCCACTCAAATATTCTTTCTCTGGCATTTACCTTCTTAAACATTCCATACATGTTTTCCAAATAATCTTGATCTAAAAATCAGACAGCATCATCTTTGTCATCTTCATAAAAAAGGACTTAGTCATTATCATAAAAAGGGACTGCAAAACTCTTGGACACATCAAGTATTTTCTTTTGCCATGACCCCAATAGCTTGCTTCTGGTTTCCAGCCTCACCAAATCAGTTGAAGTGATCCACCACACTGAGCAGCAACAGGGGGTAGACCACCACCTTCTGCACCGCCAGCTCTGGCATCACAGCACACCCCATCCCTCAAGGCCTGGCTCCCTACCACTCGCAAACACCGACAGCGGCAAGGACTCCTGCAGCTCCTCCAGTCCCAGCTTCTCCTATTCCAGTTTGGCAGCTGCTGCCACTTCAGGAATTTTCATGGAGGAGGCTTCATCCTACAGGCATGATGGATTTATTAACTCAACTTCGAGCCCCGCTCCCCTTCCCAGAGGATAGCGGGTAGAGCCGAATGTGTTAAGCTTCTAATCATGACTTGGTCCTTCTGGTGACCAGCCCCATCCAGGAGCCCACCAAGAGTTGCCTCATTAGAGCAAACAATGCTCCTATCACTTAGGAAATTCCAAGAGATTTAGGAGCTCTGTGGCAGGAATCCAGGTTAAAGACCAAAGATTAGAACAAAAGATTCTCCCAGAAATCCTATCTATAAGGGTTTTAGGACCTCTGTCACAGGATCCAGAGCCAGCGACTGTCATTAGTCCATTTTCATATGCTACAAAGAACTGCCCCAAACTAGGTAATTTATAAAGGAAAGAGTTTTAGCTGACTCACAGTTCATTCAACATGGCTGGGGAGGCCTCAGGCAGAAGAGGAAGCAAGGCACCTTCTTCACAAGGCAGCAGGAATGAGAAGTGCTGAGTGAAGTGGGAAGAGCCTCTTATAAAACCATCAGATTTCATGAGAACTCACTCACTATCGTGAGAACGGCATGGGGGAAACTGCTCTCATGATTCAATTACCTTCACCTGGCCTCTCCCTCGAAATGTAGGAATTGTAGGGATTACAGGCATTACAATTCAAGATGAGATTTGGGTGGAGGCACAAAACCTAACCATATCAGGGCATAGATACATTTCTCATTATTTCACATCTCCTTATTGCAATAAGTATGGTGTGGCACATCAACAGTTTCCTTGTTTACAACTAATGCTTTAAAAAAAACAAAAACAAAGATTATCAAATTCAGACAATTTAAACAATTGTCTTAAACATTAAGTAACTGTCCTTCACATTCCCAAAGGGAGTCATCTATGTGCAAGTTAAATCATTCTTCTGTTTTCACCTCTGAGTCACAGGAAAATGGTGTCACCTTTCATCTGCCACAACTGGCCCCATATCTAGTATGAACCAGTGAAACCAAAAAACCCTCTCTCTTTTGGCAGCTTATTCGAAAAAATTTTAAGCTGTGGAGCACCCTAGAGACGCATATGGAAGATACTGGCAAATATACGGGCAAATAATTTCACAAAAAAAACCCAGAAGTTCTAAATGCTATTAACTGAAAGCTTGCTGAGCAGCAATTACCATTTTTCAATGCCTTCAAGATATTAAATATATTTGATTTCTCTTTAAAATCATCCTTCTGCGTATAAAAGAGGGTTTGCTGATTAACTTCATAGTTTAAATCCCTGACACAGTAAATGGAAAGAAAACAAAACAAAAAAATACTACAACTACTTTAACTATGAATATTTGACCTGACTCCTGAACTTCTCCCCAATAAAAACCCTGCTAACTACTCCAAAAGTATGCTAAAATCAAAATAATTCTAGATGTCTACTAGGATCATGCTTCAAGAGATTGTGGCCTCCATGTATCTACAATAAGCTTTTTACACTAAAAAATATGGCTAAGGTTGGAAGATGCTATGTTTTTGACACATCTCACACAATATTTTGTGGATTATATGTAAAAATCTATATGAGTACAACCAATTCACTGATAATCTGAAGATTAGGGCAAGAAATCATTTTATCCCCCAACTATAACAGATTTGTGTATGCCAACTGGCTTCAGATTTTCTTGAAAAACTTATTTTGATCTAATGAGTTGGTGAACTTTCATAGTTGTGTTGAAACATTTATGTATGACTATCAATCCTACATCTGATATCCTCAAACAAATTTACTAGTCTGGAGCTTTAACAGAAGCATTTTGCTAGTTAACTTTGTCGCTAGACCTGCTCATAATATTTTGTAGCCACACAGGTACATATGTAAGTTATAAATAGCAAATGAACTGTGGTTTAGTGATACTTTTATTAAGTTCCTATCTTTTTAAAAATGTGTCCCAAATGAGGTTAAGTGTTATGCTCCTAATCTGATTTTGCCCATAAGTCTTGTGGTTTTTATTGCATGACTACACAATGCAGTGGCGACATTTACAAATGCACATGTCGTGTTATAATAGAACTCACTGAAAACCAACTACTGCCCCATGTATCAACATGGATGAATCCTGATGTTAAGCTAAAATGGCATATGTAGTGGTGGAGGCTACTGGAAGGCAACAGTGAAGGAGTTAAACAGTTTTAGCTCCTCATAAATTTGCCTGGGCCTAGAATTAGAAGGATATCTTAGACTGTCCAGGCTGCCGTAACAAAATATCTTAGATTGGGCAGCTTATAAACAAGTTAAATTTCTCACAGATCTGGAGGCTGGGAAGTTCAAGATCAAAGCACCAGCAGATTTGGTGTCTGGTGAGGGTCCTCTTCCTCACAGACTGTGCCTTCTATGTGTTCTCACATGGCAGAAGGGAAGGAATTAGCTAATGCTCTGAAATCTCTTTTATTAAGGCACTAATCCAATTCTCAAAGGCCCCATCTTCTGATACTATCGCACTGGGGATTAGATTTCAATGTATGAGTTTGGAGGGTACACATTTAGCCCACAGCAAAGGCTTCACAACTATACCCTGTGTATATAAGAATTGGATTTGTGGCTGGGCATGGTGGCTCATGCCTGTAATCAATCCCTGTACTTTGGGAAGCCGGGGCAGGAGGACTGCTTGAGTCCAGGAGTTCGAGACCACCCTGGGCAACATAGTGAGACCCTGTCTCATTAAAAAATTTAAAAAAGAAGATTAAAAAAAAGAATTGGATTTATAATACTTGCCCTTTTTGTTATGTATGAGTGCTATAAAACAAATTATTTTAGGGAAAAAAGTATAGTGTGATACATTTAAGTTCAAAAATCAGCAAAATAAATCAATATATTTTTGTTATAAATAATACTCAGTAAAACCATTAAAAAAAAGATGAGAACTATAAAGATACAATCCCTCGAGAGAGAATAAAAGGGACGTTACAGCTAGAATGGGTAAAATTCAAGTTTGTTAGTTGAATGGTAGGCAGATGGGCATTTTTTATATCAGTTGTTCTTTAAAACATGGTCTGGGGACCACAGGGAATCTAAGACTCTTTCAGAGGGTATGCGAGGTCAAAGAAGCCAAAGCTGTTTCCATAAAAAGACTAAGATGTGGCTGGGCGCGGTGGCTCATGCCTGTAATCCCAGCACTTTGGGAGGCTGAGGTGGGCTAATCAACTGAGCTCAGGAGTTCAAGACCAGCCTGGCCAACATGGTTAAACCCTGTCTCTACTAAAAATATAAAAAATTAGCTGGGCGTGGTGGGTGGGTGCCTATAACCCCAGCTACTCAGGAGGCTGAGGCAGGAGAATCGCTTGAACCTGGGAGGCGGAGGATGCAGTGAGCTGCGATGGCACCATTGCACTCCAGCCTGGGTAACAAGAGCAAAACTCCTTCTCAAAGAAAAAAATTTTAAAAAAACCAACCAAACAAACAAATAAATAAAGACTAAGATGTGATTTGTCTTTTGCACTCTTGTTCTCGCAAAAGTGAACAGTAATTTTCCAGCAATCCAGCCATGCTTATCACAACAGATGGAATGCAAAAGCAGTTATAAGAATCCCGCTGCCTTCTATTAAGTCAGTCATTAAAAGATTTGCAAAAATGTACAACAATGTTACTTTTAATATTTTCATAATATGTTATTTATCTTAACATGTGGTTATTTTTTAATGAATTAATAAACATTTTGAAATTCTCAGTTCTAAGTTTTAATTCAGCAAATATAGCTAGATAATGAACCATATAAAGAAAAGCTCTTTGGGATCTTCAATAATTTTAAAAAATGTAACAGAATCTTGAGGCCAAAAAATTTGAGAACCACTTTAAACCTTACAGCTGATAAACACACAACACATGACCTTTTTGTATGTAGGAAATATTTCATATTAGTAAAGTTAAAAAAAAACATAGTGTAGTGAAAAGACAATGAAAAAACACATCACCACCACCACCAAGTGCTGCTGTATATGGAAAAGCTTGTTACAATGGTTTCTATCTATGTATAGATATGACTTACCGATATTCAGTCTGAGAGACACAATCATAAAGTTCCTGGGCAGTAAATCTGACATTTTTATTTACCTGAAAGGAACCAAGATATAGTTATTAAAAATTATATTAATTAAAATGAGTGATGATAGCAAAATTAGAGTAGCCCATATTCTGAGAGGAAAGTTCAAATTTCTAGTTACTGCATAAAAAGGATTAAACGGTAACAAGAAGAAGTGCAATGACCGTAATGCTAACATGGAACTGTGTGCAAAAATATGAATCCCACTGTTATATCTTAATCTGTTAGTAGAACCAGCAGAGGTGAGATGGACCTAGACAAAGTAGAGATCAAATGGACAGAAAAACACAAATAAGATTAGAAACTGCAGACAGTTCTATCTGGTTTAGGAAAAAGTCTTATTTATAGACATTTTCTAAAGAAATATATTTTTCAGATTATTGAGGTCTACATGTTTAAACTTATAGGTTTAAGTTAATAAATATCTATAATTCAGAGATATAATTTATAATACCACAAATATAAAAATATTTCATCATATAAAAACTAGCTGTGGCACACATATGGAAGACACAGTGAAGGAATCTTTTATTTCTTGAAACTTACTATTGATTCAGACAATATTCCTATTTATCTGCAAGGGAGAATCTGAAAACTTGCAGAGAAAAATTATTTTGATCAGATAACAAATAGCATATTGCCTAAATTTTCAGAAATTTAGAATTAGTAAAAGGAAACAATAAGGCTAATTTCTATTTAATTTACTTAAAAAAATATTTCTAAGTGTTGCTAGCTGGCATGCATTTTTTGGTGAGGAAGAATGATACCACCCTGATTTAATGACTACTAATTTAAAGATTCATATCATAAAAGTCTTCTATATGATTCAACGTATTGCTTATTGGTAAAAACTCCATGACTTTCTTCAATGTTTTCACAGAAAGTTTACTGTATTTGTATAGAAAATGTTTCATTCACTGAAAGTTAAAAATATACAGTTTTTTGGCCAGATGCAACAGCTCACGCCTGTAATCCCAGCACTTCGGAAGGTCAAGGTGTGAGGATCATTTGAATCCAGGAGTTTGAGACTAGCCTGAGCAACATATGAGACCCTGTCTCTACTAAAAAACAATTATATATTTATATACACACACATATATATGGTTTTCAAATATTTAAATGAATATAATATGGATATTTTGCTTAACGTTAGCATATATTTATATATTTACTAGTATTTAATTATATATTTGATATCATATTTAATGATTATATGAAATTGGTATATAATTTACCACAATTTTTATTAAAAGAATCTTCTAAAAATGTTATAAAATATTCATTTAAACTATCAACCAGTCCACTCCTTCCTTCTTTACATGTTCTGCCTTCTCCTAAGGGCCGCTGATATTTTTACCATAGCCACACATTCCGGGACCTACAACGTATCAGAACACAGGCCACCAAATGTCAACACACTGCAGATATTTGGTCAGAGGATAAAGGGAATGATCCATTTTCTATCAACTGTTGAGAAAAATCAGCTGAAAAACTGACTTTGAACCTGTTAAATATGAATATAAAATAATTTATATTAAGCTTTTAATATATATATTTTTTAAATATCTAGATTTATCTTTAGTTGTAAAAGCAACCATCCACATATATTTAGACGTTTATCCAAGAACACAGCTGGAAGCACAAAGGTGACATAATTCCAGGTTACAGTAGATAATTTACAAAGTAGGTAGTTACTTTACTAATAAAGAAAAACTGAAGCGCAATCTCATGATGGTCTGTTTCACCATATTAATTAATTTTGACTACGAAGACATTTTCATTTACCCATGTTGAGACATTTGAAATTACAACTGTTAAATATCACCTCCATGGTTAAATGAACAATTTTAATTTCCAGGGGAAAAAATAGCTAGAAGATGCCACTGTCAGCAAACATTAGAGTTGTGACTATAAAGTGAATTGTGAAATGCGTATCATTACTTTTTAACTGTGCTACTTACAATAAAAGCCAGATGTTAGAAATGGCTTATTTTTAATTTAAAAATTCAAGAAAAGGCAAAGGAGAAGTATAAAAATAGTCAAATTCCTTAAAAGATTTAGACAGTCCTACCATTGTTTTTTATATTAGACAAATATATCCAATGTAGTAAGTGATGTAGTAAAAGTAATTCTTTTAAGAGAAATGATTTTAAAAATCTGTGAATCAGTCAGGCACAATGGTGTGTGCCGGTAGTCCCAGCTACCTGGGATGCTGAGGTAGGAAGATTGCTTGAGCCTAGGAGTTCAAGGATCTAGTGTGTCATGACTGTGCCTGTGAACAGCCACTGCACCCCAGCCTGGGCAACACACTAAGACCCTGTCTCTAATATATATATTTTATATATATCTGATTCTTAGATCTACATATTTTTTTTTAATTTTTAAATTTCTTTCTTGTTTATATCACAAGATATCATCAAGCAACAGATCCATATATTCTTATAATTAATAAGTTAGGTACTTTCTTCTAATACTCTTGGCAATAGAAAGTACTAAATTATAAAGAACTATGCCCCAGAATTTTCCAGCATATGTAATTTTTGAATTGTCCTATTGTTCATATATATTTTAGAGCTGGAGTCTTGCTGTGTCACCCAGTCTGGAGTGCAGTGGCATGATCATGGCTTACTGCAGCCTTGAACACCTGGCCTCAAGTGATCCTCCCACCTCCAGCCTCCTGAGATGCTGGGATTACAGCCACCGTGCCCAGTTCCACATATATATTTTTGTTAGACTTAATGTTTTGATTTGAAATTCAGAAAGTAAGATGAAATAATTATATGAATCATCTCAAAAGAGGAAGTTCTCTTAATAATCATATAATGTGGTGATAAAGAATTAAGGCTCTTATTTATTTATTTATTTGAGACAGAGTCTCACACTGTCGCCCGGGCTGGAGTGCAGTGGCGCGATCTTGGCTCTCTGTAACCTCTGCCTCCTGGGTTCAAGCAGTTCTCCTGCCTCAGCCTCCTGAGTAGCTGGGATTACAGGTGTCCACCACCATGCCCAGCCAATTTTTTTGTATTTTTAGTAGAGACGGGGTTTCACTATGTTGGCCAGGCTGGTCTTGAACTCCTGACCTCATGATCTGCCTGCCTCGGCCTCCCAAAGTGCTGGGATTACAAGCATGAGCCACTGTGCCCAGCATATTTTAACTTTTTTGAGACAAGAGTCTCACTCTGTCAGCCAGGCTGTAGTGCAGTGGTGCAATCTCGGCTCACGGCAACCTCTACCTCCCAGGTCCAAGCAATTCTCCAGCAATTCAGAAAATAAGATGAAATAATTATATGAATCATCTCAAAAGAGGAAGTTCTCTTAATAATCAAATAATGTGGTGATAAAGAAGTCTCTTATTTATTTATTTATTTGAGACAGAGCCTCACACTGTCACCCGGGCTGGAGTACAGCAGCATGATCTTGGCTCTCTGTAACCTCTGCCTCCTGGGTTCAAGCAATTCTCCTGCCTCTCAGCCTTATGAGTAGCTGGGATTGCAGGCCCTTACCACTACTCCTAGCTAATTTTTGTATTTTTAGTAAAGATGGGGTTTCATCATGTTGGCCAGCCTGGTCTCAAACTCCTGACCTCAAGTGATCCACCTGCCTCGGCCTTCGAAAGTGCTGATTATAGATGTGAGCCACGGCGCCCGGCTGAATTAAGGCTGACTCCTGCAAAGCCCATATAAACACCATTCGTTGCTTAAATAAAACTAGTTAACCATCACCCTCCCCCTTTTTTTTTTGAGACGGGTCTTGCTCTGTCAACCAGGCTGGAGTGCAGTGGTATGAACACGGCTCACTGCAGCCTTGACCTCCCGGACTCAGACAATCTTCTCACCTCGGCCTCCCAAGGAGCTGGGACCACAGGTGCATGCCACCATGCCGGCTAATTTTGTTTGTTTTTTAGAGAGATGGGGTCTCGCTGTGTTGCCAAGACTGGTCGTGAACTCCTAGGTTCAAGCGATCCACTGACCTCAGCCTCCCAAAGTGCTAGGATTACAGGCGTGAACCACCGAGCCTGGTCAAGACTAGTTAACACTTATCAAACACTCACTCTGTGCCTGGTACTTTTTGGAGCACTTTACATATTTTACATTACTGAATCTTTGCAGAATACAAATAATTTACCTACTATTGTTACTCTCATTTTACAGATGAAGAAATTGAGACAGGGAGAATTAAATAACTCTTCCTAGTTAGTAAGTAGAAGAACCAACATTTAAGCACGGGTAGTTCGACCTCAGAGTCTGTGTTCTTAATCACTGGCTTCTTAATGGAAGATGTGGCATACAAAAAGTTACAAAGAGCTAACCAGGAATAAAAGTGAAGAAATATACTTAGAGGAGTTTGACTTCATAAGAAATGTGAGACTTGAATATATGCCACATTCCTTCATTTAGAATGTTTTAAAAATTAAACACATACACGCACAAAATTGAAAGTAATAATGTTACAGGAAACATGAACAAAGAGCATCAAGCAACTAGAAATTGACAATCAACAGAATACTCACTTCGGTTCAGTAATGATGAGGAGAACATGCAGGTTAATTTACAAAATACACTGAAGCCTCATTTAGTTCTACCTCCAGGGTTTATGTTGCCACTATAAAGGAAACTAAATTATAGCTTTCCTTTCCAGTAATAAGTATTTCTCAACCAGGAGTTCTTCCTTTCTGAGGTATTCTGGGTATGTAAGTTGGATGGGGAGATGGAATACTTTTGGTTGTCACAACTGGGATAGCTATAGGCATTTAGTACCTGATGTACAGGGATGTTAAACATCCTGAAGTGTTCCACACAACGAAGAACTGACCTGTCCAAAATGCCCGTAGCACCCCTGATGAGAAACAATTTCACATTGGAGAAAGCGTGTTATTTTAGGACTCTCATATTTTTACTTAGGGAATGAAAGAAAAAATTGAATATGTCACTGGCAGGGAGGAGGGGAGGAAATGGACAGTTGTAGGTCACAGGATAGGAAGTTGCAGATAGGTAGGATGAACAAGCCTACAAATCATACAACATGAGGTCTATAGTTAATAAGATTGTACTATATTCAAAATTTTTGCTAAAAGAGTACATTTTAGGTGCTCTTGTCACATACACAAAAAGGGGTAACTGTGAGATAACTGATATGTTTATTTACTTACCTACAGAAACCATTTCACTATGTATAACATATCAAAACATCCTGCTATACACCTTAAATATAGTTTTTTAAAAGGGAGAAAAAAGAATATGTCACTAACAAACTTTTATGGCATTCAATAATTTAAAGCAAATATCAATTAAATAGCATTCCATTATGTTTTAGAACTCCTACTATGTTTATTTACACTAAAACTTGTTTAAAGTAGAAATGTGATAAATACTTAAAAATATTTCCCATACCTCATACTTGATTAGGAAGTTATAGAGGGTCTCAACATCTTGATAATTACTGTTTGGGGCCAAAATCCTAAAAAATAAAATAAAAACAAAGGAGGGGGGAATAAATGACTTCAGAAAAAATCAATACCTTGAACTTTCTCCCCAAACATACCCACGCCATGAGAGGTAACTTACTGTTTGATAAGCTTAAAGGTTTATAATATTTTTAAAAATCAATTAAAAATTATAAAACCAGAAACTTAATTCAACAGAGGTCAACTTATTAAAATGTTTTTGCTTATTTAAATTTATACTTATAACATCAATTAATCAACAACTATAAGCATTCTTACACGTGAAGTTATAGTTCACATTTTAAGTTACAATACAGATTTCTCAAAAAATAGAAATGTGAACTGCATTTACACAGTCTATGCATAGATAGAAATGTGAAGTGCATTTATACAGTCTATGCATAGATAGAAATGTGAACTGCATTTATACAGTCTATGCATAGATAGAAATGTGAAGTGCATTTATACTTCATATCTGTTAAGCTCCAGACAAAGCTTGAGTATTTCCCACAGAAATGTTCAACCAGTCCAAACAGACAACTGATAAAATTAGCCACTTAAAAGATATCCTAATAAAATATTTTGATTAAATTCAAATAACATTGCTTGAACTATCAGCCTACAGCTCCATGAAAAATCAATAGATTATATAAATTGTTGAAAATAACACCTATTTACAAAAAAATAACAAATGACAGAAACAGAAATAAAACAACTTTTTAAATTTATTTTGTTGAGACCAGGTCTCACTCTGTTGCCCAGGCTGCAGTGCAGTGGTGTAATCATGGCTCAATGCAGCTTCAACCTCCTGGGCTCAAGCGATCCTTCCACCTCAGACTCCCAAGTAGCTGGGACTACAGGCAAGCGCCACCAAGTTGGGCTAATATTTTAAAAAATCATTTTTGTAGAGATGAGGTCTCCCTATGTTGCCCAGGCTGGTCTCAAATGTCTGGGCTCAAGGGATCCTCCCACTTCAGGCTCCCAAAGTTCTGGGATTATAGGTGTGAGCCACAGCACCAGGCCATAAAAATAAAGAAGGGAAGAACATATTTTTCCTTCTAGTAGTAAAGTATTAATTCTCATTTTCTTATACTAAATATTTTTTCCATCCTTTCAGCATGAATACTGTTTTTCTTTTCGGAAAAAAAAAAAAAGGAAGTAAACCAGCTTGTCATTTTGGTACAGTGTAGTGCCTCTGAGTACTGTCTGCCTCAGCTGTGTGAGCTTTGTCTAGCTGTGTGACCTTTGGGGAGTTACTTAACTTCCATGTGATTTATCTTCTTACCTGTTAAATTAGGATAACTACCCCTACTTCATAGGGCTACTGCAAGAATTAAATGAGTTACTAGAAAAAAAGTCATTACAACAGCATATGGAATACAGCAAGTACTATATAGTATATGTCAATTATAACAGTGACAGTAACAACTATCATCATCATCTAATACAGATGCTCCTTGACTTATAATGGGGCTATACCCAGATAAACCCATCGTAAATTGAAAACATCCTAGGTAGGAGTGCATTTTGACTTGTAATATTTTCAGTTTATGACGAGTTTATCAGAAGATAACCCTAACCCCATGGTAAGTCAAGGATTGTACTAAATGCTTTGCACCATCATAGAATTGAAAAATCCTAAAACAAACCATTATAAATTGGAAACCATCTGTAGTTTCAAGCCATAAAATACATAAACATTGATATAACTAATGAGAAATCAAGCCACCTTGGTTAGTTTTTAAATTCCTAATGGCTTTTAACACTGTCTCTGGGTCTTTATGTCCTCAGGCTTTGTTTTCTTTCATGTGCTCTTAGAACTGTGAGCTTTGGCTACTCTGGATCGTGTCACATTGTATCCCAAGGCCCAGCAGGTCTCAAAGAGTTGTTGAATGGAAATAAAAGAGCCTTGTTCAGAATCTGCGCATCTTGAGTACAAATTTTACAATTTATTATACTCATCCGCAATACACTGTGAGGTTTGGACTTTTATTCCTAAGAGTTTGTCTCCTCCTGCTGGAGGTCTAATATAGTATGTTAACACTACTAGGCTCTTAATATAGCAATTTGTTTATCTAATTTCTCAACCCTCTTTATGGACAGTTCAGGAATATTTCTAAGCCAACAAACAGATAGTATAACATTATTCCACATGAACTCGATGTTTGTTTTCACTTGTATCATAGAACACACTAGGTGGGTTCCCATTGCTTTCTAAGGAATTGGTTAAACTTATCCTAAAGAAACCTTTGTCCTCTGTTTAAAGCAAATTAATTATATCCTTCCTCCATATTCTCTCCAATGCAAATTATTATGGACCCTTCCCATTAATGTGGTATTTCTCCCAGGCTTTTTTTGGAGTTACAAGATTTTTTTTTTTTTGTATTTAAATTACTGTTGGGAGAAAACTTTTCTATGAAATAGATTCCTATGGATGGGTTATATATTTCTTAAAGATGTATATTCTTAAAGAATGTTCTGTAATATATGCCCTCCAAGGGACCTTTAAAATCTGACTATGCCCGAAAAACTGTTTATAAAAGCTCTCCCACAAGTATAATAAAGGCCAATAGTCTAAAGGATATATTAAGATATTGAGAACAGTTAATTATCAAGTCTGACAGAATCAAGTATTGCCAATG